GGGAGAGAAAAGGAGGAAGGGCTGTTAATGGGACACGTCTTAGTTACTCGGAAGTTGAAGCCAGGCCAAAGATCCAATGCTGGATACCTCTGAAAGGATGAGTGGTCTTAGAGACAATAATCCAATTGCCAGATACTTGCCCGTTTTTGGTTTTTTTTTTCGAGTTTGGGAATTTTGCAATCATTTTCAAAACGAGTATGATGTCTTCTTAGAAGGAGGATGCTTGTGTGATTTAGGTGTAAATTAGAATGGTGTTTAAGTAGGAGTTCGTTATTTAGCTTATTGGAAAGAGCTTCTACATGGGGTTGTTTCAGAGAGTACATACTAAGAAGCTGTGCCCCTAGGGACCTGGGTTTGTGGGTGGGAGGTGGGGGCCGGTTGCTGCTGCTAAGTGTTAGAAAAAGCTGGCCGGGCACACGCCTGTAGTCCCAGCACTTTGTGGGAGCTGAGGCAGGGGGATCCTTGAGGTCAGGAGTTCGAGACCAGCCTGGCCAAGATGGCGAAACCCCTAGTAAAAATACAAAAACTGGCTGGGCATGGTGGCAGGCATCTGTAATCCCAGCTACTCAGGAGGCTGAGGCAGGAGAATCGCTTGAATCCAGGAGGCGGAGGTTGCATGAGCCAAGATTGTGCCACTGCACTTCAGCCTGGGCGACAGAGTGAGACTCCATCTCAAAAAAGAAAAAAAAAGTTGCCAACCGGTTGGCAACCTTTTTTTAATGTGACCTGTTCCCCTGATGGTGGTAAAAGCCTGCTTTACTTCTGTTTAAGGATTTTCTTTGTAGTCTCTCAATTGGCTACTACTCACAGAAAGAGGATGCATTCAGGGCTGGTTTCAGGCACCCAATATACCAATTAACTGTATCCCCTGCTGTATAACTGAATGAACACACAAGTCCACCTTCATGGCATAGGAGGGGGGAAAAGCTCATCTGTCTCAGAAGACAAATCTTGAGAAACACTAATATTTGAAAAAGCCTGGTGACCTCAGTGACCATTTTGATACTTTATATAACATTTCAAAGAGCTTTTCACCAACTTATGTGATAATTGTTTACCTCTCCTGGAATGCTGGGATGTTCTTCTCTACTCAGGTACTTTCTAGAAACCATGGGATAGGAAATGCCTACCCCGTTTCCTACTTTCTTCCCTGGACAGATTTTTCCAGGTTACTCTGATGTATTTTTTTTTCCTCTGAGCACCTGTAGCACTTATCAAATGCATTACTATTCAGCCCCTGCTTATATTGATACTCTCTAATTATTACAGCACACACATAATTGCCTAATAAAATTGGAAAATTGCCAGGCGCGGTGGCTCACACCTGTAATCCCAGCACTTTGGGAGGCAGAGGTGGGCAGATCACCTGAGGTCGGGAGTTCAAGACCAGCCTGACCAACATGGATAAACCTCGTCTCTACTAAAAATACAAAATTAGCCAGGCAGGGTGGCGCATGCCTGCAATCCCAGCTACTCGGGAGGCTGAGGCAGGAGAATCGCTTGAACCCGGGCAGTGGAGGTTGCAGTGAGCTGAGATCGCGCCATTGCAATCCAGCCTGGGCAACAGGAGCGAAACCCCATCTCAAAAAAATAAATAAATAAATTGAAAAATTGTCCAGGGTAGGGAGCATATTTTAACCTCTCGGACTTCTTTTAGCATCTGTGCATTGTTGGGCAAATAATAGATGCTCTGATTGTCCCCATCAAAATACAGAGCTTTAAAAAATATCAGTTTCCTACCTTTTAAAGTTTAAAGTTTAGGAACTTCTAATAGAAAAAGTTCTTTTAAAAATCCCAACTGGACGCGGTGGCTCATGCCTATAATCCCAGCACTTTGCGAAGCTGAAGCAGGTGGATCGCTTGAATCCAGGAGTTTGAGACCAGCCTGGGTAACATGGCGAAACCCCATCTCTACAAAAAAAAATGCAAAAAATTAGCCGGGCATGGTGGTGTGCGCCTGTAGTTCCAACTACTTGGGAGGCTGAGGTGGGAGGATCGCTTGAGCCCAGGGAGGTGGAGGTTGCAGTAAGCGAAGATCGTGCCACTGCACTCCAGCCTGCGTGAGAGAATGAGACCCTGTCTCAAAACAAACAAACAAACAAACAAAACAAAAAAACCCTTTCATAACTAACAAGTATCACAATCACCCAGTTTATGACATGAAAGGAAATTTCTTTCATCCCTTTCTCATTAATCAGTGCACAGCTGCAAAGACTTTGGCCTTTTTTGTTTTCAGTGCCATAAAACTACCAGCAGCATACACCCGAGCTGTAATCTTTGCATAGTATTTTTTATTTTCACTTACAGAATGCTTTAAAACCACTTTTATTGATTATTTCGCCAACAAGTATGTCACGTCAGTATATGTTTAGCATATGGGAAAAACTTCACTTGATCTAAGCTTGTTTATGATCAAACTTGTCTAAACCTATCAAGAGGTAGGAAGCAGAGCAGAAAGTTTATGATTCACTAGTCCTGATGCAATCCAAAATTCACCGAAAAAAAAAAAAAAAAACCACCAACCCACTTCCTGTTTCTGTGGCACTGTAAAACAATGATGAGTAAAAACTCTTCCATAGTTTTATAACTTTGTTCTTAAGATGGCAATATAATATCATCCTTTCACTATTAAAACATTGGAAGTGTAATCTTTAAATTTCCATCTCAAATTTTTGCTAACTCAAATTTTAGGCTCAGGCCAGGCGCAGTGACTCATGCCTGTAATTCCAGCACTTTGGGAGGCCGAGGTGGGGTCACCTGAGGTCAGGAGTTCAAGACCAGCCTGGCCAACATGGCAAAACCCCATCTCTACTAAAAAAAACACAAAAATTAGCTGAGCGTGGTGGTGGGCGCCTGTAATCTCAGCTGTTCGGGAGGCCAAGGTAGGGAGAATTGCTTGAACCCAGGAGGCAGAGGTTGCAGTGAGTCGAGATTGTGCCACTGCACTCCAGACTGGGCGACAGAGCAAGACTGCGTCTCAAAACAAACAAACAAAATTTAGGCTCATACCCTAATCAAGGCTCACCCTACCAAAAATTGCCATAGTAGTAGACTATTTGTGTTTCGGAAACATACCCCTCATATATACACTCCCAATTTTGGTTCCAAGTGGTGGAGCAAGTGGGCACTGAAAACAGAAGGGATAAAGCCTGTTTTCTAGAAAGGATGATACATAGTGAGATTTTCCACCATCAAATAAATTTTGAGCAATAGTACATTATATGGTGGATGTATTTGGAAGGGCGAAGGAAGCCTTGATACTAGCCTTGAGGCTGACTTTTTTATTTTTATATATTTATTTATTTTTATTGAGACAGGATCTTGCTCTGTCACTCAGGTTGCAGTGCAGTGGTGTGAACATGGCTCACTGCAGCCTCAACCTCCCCGGCTCTGGCTCAAGTGATCCTCCCACCTCAGCCACCCGAGTAGCTGTAGTCGCGCCTGTAGTAGTGCGCCACCATGCCCCGCTAAATTTTTAAAATTTTTTTGCAGAAAAGAGATCTCACTTTGTTGTCCAGGCTTTCAATATTAAATATACACCACACTGAAAATATTCTCTTCTGTCCCTTAAGAAAGAAGATTTTTCTTAGAGATAGTTTTCATTATTCGGTACACATTTGTTCAAATGACTGCATTTCAACAGATTTAAATCCATCTGCTCATAATTTGGAAGATATAATTTAGATTTGGACGTCCTTATAATGGCCTTTTAGAGGCGCTCAAAGACCCTGGGTCTACGAAGACTTTAGAAAAACTCTAAACACATTCAAAAAGAAAGTTTTCTAATGATCGTGTGTATAGAAGCTATTAAAAACGTAGATTTCTGTCCCCCACACTGTGTTCTGATTTATTACTTCTGGGGTGGAAACCCTGAGAATCTCTTGTTGTTTTCTCTTCCATTGTGATAAAATACACAAATTTACATCTTTTTTTTTTCTTTTTTTGAGACAGGGTCTCATTCTATTTTCCAGGCTGGAGTGCAGTGGCGTGATCACAGTTCACTGCAGCCTCAGCCTCCCAGACTCAAGTGATCTTCCCACTTTTGCCTCCCAAATAGGTGAGACTACAGTCACGTACCACCATGCCTGGCAATTTTTTTTTACCTTCCTTTGTAGAGATGGGTTCTTGCTCCGTTGCCTAGGCTGGTCTTGAACTCCTAGGCTCAAGAGATCTTCCCCCTTGGCCTCCCAAAGTGCATGAGCCACTGTGCCTGGTCTGCATCTTTTTTTTTTTTTTATTAGACAGGGTCTGGTTCTGTTGCCCAGGCTAGAGTGCAGTGGTGTGATCTCAGCTCACTGCCACACCTCTGCCTCCCAGGCTCAAGTCATCCTCCCACCTCAGCCTCCCGAGTAAAATTAGCCTGACTAATTTTTGTATTTTTTATAGAGACAGGGTCTCACTTTGTTGCCCCTGCTGGTCTTGAACTCCTGAACTCAAGCAATTGTATGAGGGGTAATCACCTTGACCTCCCAAAGTGCTGGGATTATAGGCATGAGCCATGGCGCCTGGCCCCTGCATCATTTTTTTTTTTTCCCTGAGATGGAGTCTTGTTCTGTTGCCCAGGCTGGAATGCAGTGGCACAATCTCAGCTCCCTGTAACCTCCACCTCCTGGGTTTAAGCGATTCTCCTGCTTCAGCCTCCCAAGTAGCTGGAATTACAGGTGTGCGCCACCACGCCCAGCTAATTTTTGTATTTTTAGTGGAGACGTAGTTTCACCATATTGGCCAGTCTGGTCTTGAACCCACCCACCTTGGCTTCCCAAAGTGCTGGGATTACAGGTGTGAGCCACCACGCCCGGCCCTGCCCCCCCTGCATCATTTTTAACTTACACTGCAGACGATTAAAATAGAGAATTTCAAAGAAGCACATTTTGAAGGATATTCCTCTTACACCTCATCAAGTTTCCTTTTACCTAATAAGGGATTTTTTTTCACAGAATGTAAATTCCAAGACAGGAGGGATTTTTATCTTTTCTCTTCACTGCTGTATCCTTAGTAGTTATCAGTTCAGAATCTGGTTCATAATTGGCTTGCAATAATTTTTGTGAATGCCACAACCTGTAATCCTACCACCCTGGCCTGAGTAACAGTCACCTCTTACCTGGATTACTGCAGTACCTTTCTAATTGGTCTTCTTGCTTTTTTTCCTCTTTGTGCCACCCTTTTTAGTTTCCTAACAAAGCAGCAAGAGTAGTCCTTAAAACATAAGTCACAGAGACCATCCTGGGCCACATGGCGAAGCCCCATCTCTACAAGAAAGACAAAAATTAGCTGGGCATGTTGGTGTACGCCTGTAGTTCCGGCTGCTCAGGAGACCGAGGTGAGAGGGTCACTTGAGCCCTGGAGGTGGAGGCTGGAGTCAGCCATAATTGCCAGCCTGGGCAACAGAGTGAGAACTTGTCTCAAAAAAGCAAAACAAAACAAAAAAACAACATAAGTCAGATTATCATCTTTTTGGCTCAAAACCCAGCAAAGACTGCCTAACTCTACCCTTCCCTCATTCCTTTCCAACCACATTAGCTTCCTTGCTATCTGTTAACACATCAGGCATACATTCCTACCTTTAAGGCCTCCAGACATCTGTTCATTCTGCCTTAAATGCTGTTTCCCCCAATAACCATGGCTAACTCATATTCTTCAAATCCTGGCTCAAATGTCACCTTACCAATGACGACTTCCTTAAGAATCCTATGTAAATATTGCAACCGTGATCCCACTTCCCACAGCTATCCCTCAGCACTCCAGATACTCTATATCCTGGTCTTTTTCTTATCTTTTCCACATTTTCCACATTTCTTATCCCTTTCAATACATATACTGACTTAAAAAAAGTATCATACCTATTTTTTATTGTCTGTCCTCTCCCTCTCCCAGTATAATCTCCATGTGGTCAAGACTTATTGACATATCCCAAGCACCTAGAATAGTGCCTGGCATACAGTAGGCATGCAATGAATCTTTGATGCAATAAGGAATGCAGACGATTTTCCCTTTGCTACCAGGATTTCTTACATTGCAGAATTGTCCCACAAGTTCCATTTTGAGTTTTTTCTTTCTTTCTTGAAAGAGGAGAGGTCTATGCAATTTTGCTTAAAAACAGGGGAAAGAGATCCTCCTTGGGTCCCCACATTATATATTGTTGTGTTGTTGAGTACCTTCTCTCAGATCTTTGGCCAGAGAGCACATTGGCATAAGTTAACATGACCAGGTCTACAGTCTAATGTCCTCAGAGTTTCTTTCTTATGTTTAGTAAAATCTCTATATCAGGATCAGCTTTCCAGCTTTTCATGTGGTCCAGTTTTCACTCATACATATGGTGTTTTCAGTGTCTTTCCTGTTGTAATTTCCTCCTGGGTGGGGAAACACCCTCTCACCTGTTGGCTAGTGTTTAATGTGAACATGCTTAGACTCAGGCCCTCCGCCTCCCGTGACTTTCAAAGGCCTTTTGAGTTTGGAGAGGGTGTTTCAGTTGGACTGCTCCCTAAAGTCGTGTGACCTATCCTTTCTGCCTCTCATTATTCCTCTAAGTTAGGGGTTGATAGTTAGATTCTGTCAAATCTCCTCTATTTACTTACCATACAAATATCCTGCTTTCTTTGGAAGAGAAGTTAAACATCAGATCTGGTGTCTTTCTTCACTCTGGTGTGATTCAATACTCTGCTTAGCAGACATTTTAAAATTTGGAGCATTTGGTTCACATCCTCTTTATTGATGCAGATTTTCCCCCTTTGTTTATAAATTCCTTTGGTCTTTTCAGTTGTAGTTTGACAGGGGCCAGTTATAAATTGGTGCTTGGAAATCCTGAGGTATATACTTCAATAATTCCTGGTAGGATGTGTTCGAAAGTTTTCCATCTCTTCTGCACTTAGGAATGAGCTCTCTAAGTGATTTCAGTATGCAGGTAGATTGGGGGCTGCTGGAATAGATGATCAGTGAGAGTTACATGAGGGTTTAGAGGAAAGGTGACGTCTTGCAGTGGTAATAACTACACCTGAGAACCCTTAAGCAGCATCCTCAATGCGTCACTGTTTAGCCGTTTGTTTTCTTTTTTTCTGGAAATTCTTTTTGATTTTTTTTTTCCCCAAAGCCTACAGGCATTACCCAAAATATCAAGATACTGAAGACACCTGGTTATCTTCACTGCTTGTGAGATGTTTCAAATTAGACTTTTGTTCCTTGTAATTTTTTAATGTTTCAAGGGAACCATTTTTTTCTAGGATTCACTGTTTGTTACTGTAATTTCATGAGATCTTTATATGGGGTCTAATCATTTATGCATTCAAAAAATATTCATTGAGGTCTTATAATGTGCCAGATACCAGAGGTGGATTCAGGTTCTGTGGAGCCTGAAACTTACTACAGATTTGTGGGCCATATTTGAGAAAAGAAGAAAGGTTGGTCTGATGGGAGTGGGTTATCAGAACTTATTAACATTAGTGTTACTAAAGTTGGTTTACAGCCCCCCACTGCTAAATTTGACTGGCTTTTAAATAATTAAAAAATTAAGCAAAAATAAGGAAGGGAAGGGAGAAAAAAAGAGGGGAAGAGGGGGAGGGGCAAGAGGGGACTATGACAACAATGACAATGACAGTGGTAGCAGTGGTGATAAAAGTACAAATTGAAAATTAGGTACAGACTTCTGTTTCTAGGAAGATGTAATAGAAATACATTTCCCCATTCCTTCTGCTAAGTACAACTAAAAACCCTAGCTACTATCTATAAAACAAACATACCTGGACTCTGAAGGATGGAGAAGAGAAGACAGACCGACTAGGGGCCTTGGGACCTGAGAATGACATGGTGATGAGTTTTCTTTTTACCTTATATCGCCCAGACAAAGCTGAAGAAGCCAGCAACCTGAAAACACCAATGGGTACAGACGGAAGAACCTGCTCGCTCTAGCCAGAGAAGTATGAGGACTTGAAGGTAAGAGGATTGTTTCTAGTCCTGGCTCTGCCATTAACAAATGGTAACTTGGTAAATAACTCTTTCTCCAGATCTCCATTGTCAGCCAGCATTATGATTGAAAGTTGGGAAAGGAAAGGAGTTGTGTTTTAAGCAAAGTTTAAGAGTTTGCTTTTTATTGCTTAACATAGAAATAATTGCATATTGTAGAACATTGAAAGAAATGTATAATGAAAAATTTCAGGGCTGGGCACGGTGGCTCACACCTGTAATGCCAGCACTTTGGGAGGCCGAGGCGGGCGGATCATGAGATCAAGAGATCAAGACCAGACTGGCCAATATGGTGAAATCCTGTCTCTACTAAAAATACAAAAATTAGCTGGGTGTGGTGGTGGTGTGCACCTGTAACCCCAGCTACTCGGGAGGCTGAGGCAGGGGAATCGCTTAAACCCGGGAGGCGGAGGTTGCAGTGAGCCGAGGTTGTGCCACTGCATTCCAGCCTGGTGACAAAGCGATACTCCATCGCAAAAAAAAAAAAAAAGAAAAGAAAAGAAAAGAAAAATTTCACTATTTAGAATATTTAGAAACAAGCATTATTAACATTTAAGGCATTGAAAAAAATTTTTAATGATGTGTTATGCAATTGAGGTCATACTGTATATAAAATTTTGCATTTGCTTTTTTTGCTTAATGCTAGAACATATTACAGGCTTTTTAATAAAACATTTTTTATAGGCTAGGCATTCTTTTATCACATAAATATACTGAAATTCACTTAACCATTAAAATAAATATATATATATATATAGATTTTTTTTTCAAAGTAACTCATATTAGCATTTTTGTGGTGTTTAAATGCCTGTTACTTTTAGTTTACATTTCTTTGGGTCATTGACCAAAATATTTGACAAGGCCTTTGAAAATTAAAAGGGTCATTTGGATGTGTGAAATCAGGCATTCTTTCTATGTTTTTAACTAAGGTCTGTAACTAACTGTCTGTAGTGGTGGGATTTTAATAAGTGGCATAAATAAGACAGCCTACTAGAAGTAAGTTAAGTAAATATTAAAAGGAAACTTATAAATTGGGACTTGGACAATTTTGGATTGGAACTGCAATTTTGCTTCCTTTGTAAATCTTGTTTTCTGGCGTGTGTGTGTGTGTATGTGTGTGTGTGTGTGTTACGAGACTGTAAGTGAAGCCTTTATGTAATGTGATTCCTCATAATTAAATAAACATTTATTGGGAAGCACTTCCAGAATGACAGAGTAAGGACTTCCAAAAACTTATTTCTCCATAAAAGCAATGAGGTCACTGGCAAACATTCTCTAGTTTTTCAGAACTCTAGAAAAAACCAAAGACATTTAACAATCTGAGGAGTGCTTATTGAAGAAAAATGGCGAAATCTCAGACAGTGAGATCTGTAGTGTTTAACTTGCCCTATTTCAATCCACTCCCCACTCCCAGCTCCATGGTAGTCTTGAAGACCAGCAATCTTGAAACCATAATATCTGTGAAAAGCAGCAGCCTAGCAGCCGTGGCCTGAAATGGTTATATTAGTTGGGGCAAACAAGAAGCTGGCTAAAAAAAAAAAAAACTTAAAAGGAAAATCTAGGGAATAAGATGTCCATAGGAGCTTTGAAAACCTCTGTAGGGCTGGTGGCCAAGATGGAAGTAGCTGCGGTCCACAGCACTCATGGAGATGGATGAAAGGGGCAAGTGAATACAGCACCTTTCAACTGAAATATTCAGGTACTGTCACTGGGACTGATCAGGGAAACAACTCAAGCAGGGTGGGGTGACAGCCCACGTGGGAGTGACACAAAGCCAAGGGAACCCTCACCCTCAGCTGAGGGAAGTGGGAGTGATTGTGTGGCCCTGGGAAACCACGCTTCTCCCACGGATCTTTGCAACCTGTGGATCAGGAGATCCCCTCGTGAGCCCACACCACCAGGGCCTTGGGTCTGATACACAGAACTGTGTGGCATCTCAGCAGAGCAGCCACTCAGGCACACACAGAGACCCAGGAGTTTTACATACTCTGGCCCCAGGATCCCTGGCAAGGTGGCCTGTACATATCCCTAGGAAGGGAACTGAATCCATGGAACCAAGCAATGTAGTTCTGCGAGCCTCACTTTCATAACACCTCACAAGATAAGACCCACTGGCTTGAATTCCATCCAGCCAGCCACTGGCAATAGGGTAGAGCCTGCCTGAGATGGAATAGCGCCCCCCAGGAGGAGGGGCAGCTGCCATCTCTGCTGTTTGGTTGACTCAACCATTCCAGCCTGTGGGCTTTGGAGAGTCCAAACAGTCTGGATAAGCTCAGCTCAGCACAGCTGCTTTGTCAGATTGTGACCAGACTGTTTCTTTAAGCCGGACTCCAGTCCATTTCTCTTTACTGGGTGAGACCTCCCAGTAGGGCCCTCCAACCAGCCCCACACATTTTCTATGGACAGAGATCTGATCTCTCCCTGGGACAGAGTGCCTGGGGGAGGAGAGGGCCACCACCTGGGTTGTCTGGACGACTCAGCCATTCCAGCCAGGGGTTTGAAGAGTCCAAGATGATGGAGCAGAGGTGGTTCCCAGCACAACAAGGCTATCCTGTTGAAGTATGGCCAGAATGCTTCTTTAAGTGGGACCCTGATCCACTCCTTATGGGCAGGTCCTCCCAGCCAGGGCCTCCAGCCACCTCTGCCCATGTTCTACTGCCAACCAAGCTCTAATTTCTCCCTGGGACAGAGTCCCTGGAGAGCAGGGCAGGCTGCCACCTTGGCTGTTTAGGCTTATCAGCTAGTCCAGCCTATGGGCCTTGGAGAGCCCAAATCAATTGGGGACCGAAGGGATCTGCAACACAGCACAGTTGCTCTACCAAAAAGCAGCCAGTCTGCTTCTTTAAGAGGGTCCCTTATCCCATTTATCCTGACTGGGTAAGACCTCCCAACTGGGGTCTCCAGCCACCTCCTATAGGCACCTTCAGGCTGGCAACAGGTCAGCACCCCCAGGACGAAGCTTCCAGAGGAAGGGGTAGGCTGCCATCTTTGCTGTTTTGCAGTCTTCACTGGTAATACCTCCGGGTACGGGAAAAACCGAGGCAACTAGGGTCTGGGGCAGACCCCCAGCAAACCACAGCAGCCCTATGGAAGAGTGGCCAGACTGTTAAAAGAAAAACAAACAAACAGAAAACAACAACAACAACAGTACCCACAAAAACCCCATGCAAAGGTCAGCAACCTCAAAGATTGAAGGTAGATAAGTCCACACCATATAGTGTGGTTGTGACACACTTGTCAAAAATCATTTGTGCAAAAGAACAGAAGAAAAACCAGTTGACCATATACATGAAGGATTATTTCTGGGCGTTCTATCCTATTCCATTGGTCTGTGCATTTGTCTTTATGTCAGCACCACACTGTTTTAATTACTATGGCATTGTAATGTGTTTTTAAGGGAGGAGACCACCCCTCATATTGTCTTATGCCCAATTTCTTCCTCCAAAGAAAGAAGAAGTAAAAACTAAAAGGCAGAAATGGAATCCACAGACAGGTAGCGCAGCACCACACCCTGGGCCTGGTAGTTAAAAATCAATCCCTGACCTAACTGCTTGTGTTATCTACAGATTTCAGACATTGTATGGAAAATCATTGTGAAAATCCCTGTCCTGTTCTGTTCCTTTCTGATTACCGGTGCATACAGCCCCCAGTCACGTACCCACTGCTTGCTCAATCAATCACGACCCTCTCATGCAGACCCCCTTAGAGTTGTAAGCCCTTAAAAGGGACAGGAATTGCTCACTCGGGGAGCTCGGTTTTTGAGGTGCGAGTCTTGCTGACCCTCCTGGCTGAATAAAGCCCTTCCTTCCTTTTTTTTGAGACGGAGTCTCGCTCTGTCGCCCAGGCTGGGGTGCAGTGGCCGGATCTCAGCTCACTGCAAGCTCCGCCTCCCGGGTTTACGCCATTCTCCTGCCTCAGCCTCCCGAGTAGCTGGGACTACAGGCGCCGCCACCGCGCCTGGCTAGTTTTTTGTATTTTTTAGTAGAGACGGGGTTTCACCGGGGTGTTAGCCAGAATGGTCTCGATCTCCTGACCTCGTGATCCGCCCATCTCGGCCTCCCAAAGTGCTAGGATTACAGGCTTGAGCCACCGTGCCCGGCCACCCTTCCTTCTTTAACTTGGTGTCTGAGGGGTTTCGTCTGCAGCTCGTCCTGCTACATTTTGAACAGACTGCAATTTTGATAGGGTCATTACTTCTGGTATTTAGCAGATGATTTAATAGAAATTCATCTGGGGTCCTACTATCATTTACAGCAGCAGTCCCCAGCCTTTTTGGCAACAGGGACCAGTTTCATGGAAGACAGTCTTTCCACGGACCAGGAGTGGGGGTGATGGTTTTGGCATGAAACTATTCCACCTCAGATCATCAGGCATTAGTTAGATTCTCATAAGGAGCATAAAATTCTAGATCCCTTGCATGCGCAGTTCACAACAGGGTTCTGCTCCTATGAGACTCTAACGCCGTGGTTGATCTGACAGGAGGTGGAGCTCAGGCAGTAATGTGAGCAATGGGGAGTGGCTGTAAATATAGATGAAGTTTCACTTGCTTGCCAGCCGCTCACCTTGTGCTGTGTGGCCTGGTTGCTAACAGGCCACAGACTGGTACCGGTTCACGGCCTGGGGATTGGGGACTCCTGATTTACAGGATATTGAACTAATATTTCTCCTCGTGTTTAGAAAAGTAAGCTAATGTCTGGGTGCAATTGCTGGTGGTTGTAATCCCAGCACTTTGGGAGGCTAAGGTGGGTAGATCACTTGAGGTCAGGAGTTTGAGACCAGCCTGGCCAACATGGTAAAATGCTGTCACTACTAAAAATACAAAATGTAGCCGGACTTGGTGGCTAATGCCTGTAATTCCAGCTACTCAGGAGGCTGAGGCAGGAGAATCACTTGAACCTGGGAGGTGGAGGTTGCAGTGAGCCAGGATCATGCCGTTGCACTCCAGCCTGGGGGACAGAGAGAGAGACTTT